GGTGGGTGCTCACCGGGCGGGCTCAGCGGGCGGTGCTCAGCGGGCGGTGCTCAGCGGGCGGGCTGGGGCGGCGGTGCGGCTGGCGCTGCAGGTCGGCGGCCGCGCGCCCCGGCCGCCCCGGCGTCTCGCCCGCCCAACGCCCCGGCCGCCGCCGCGCGCCAGGCCCCGCCCCGCCCCGCCGGCCGGGCCCGGCGGCGCGCGGGGCGGGGCGGGGCGGGGCAGCCCTTAAAGGAGCCGCGCGAAGGGGCGCGGCCGGAGGGGGGCGCTGCGGCGCGGCCCGCCGGGGGCGGGGCGCGGCCCGGGACCGGCAGCCGCCGCCGCCGAGGGGCGGAGCCCAGCCGAGCCCAGCCGAGCCCAGCCCCGCCCCGCCGCAGCCAGCCAGGGCCGCGGCTGGGAGCCGGCGGGAGCGCGCCGAGCCTCCGAGCCTCTCCGCGGGGCGGCGTGCGGCTGCACGGGACACGTGGCGCCCGCTGTGGCACGGCACGGGGGAACAACGGCTGGGAGCGGAGCTGGAGCCCCCTCCGGCCTCGTGCCGCTCTGTGCCGGAGCAGAGGCGGCTCGGCAGCAGCAGGGGACAGCGGTATTGCACAGCCCCCTCTCGCCGGGCGAGGGGCAGCGCACGGTGGGGGCGCCCCTCGCCCTTGTGGCGGCTGCGGAGCCGCCGCAGAGCTCGGGCAGTGCGGAGACTCGGCCATGGGCGCGCTACTGCGAACTTGCCACCGCGGCACCGAAGCCGTGCCATGCTCTTGCAGCGGGCACGTCCTGCCAGCCCGTTCCTTGCCCTGTCCCACCAGCTGCCCTGCTGGCACGCCCTTCGTCTCTCCGCTGGTGACACTCTGGTAGCACAAGCCACAGCTGGGCCCGTCCTGCTGTGCAGCACCAGCAGAGTCAGACTGCTGGCTGGAAGGTCCAAGGCTGGGCTGTCGCAGGAGGTCTCACTCATGCTCACAGGTGTAGGGGATGTTTACACCTTGCCACCTCCTCTCTCTTCATCTGCTTTGTACGGCTACTCCCAAGACAACACTCTGTACCCAAAAGTGCCTTCAGGGAATTAAGGAAGGATTCCTTGCTTTGCTTTATTTTCTATTGCTTCAATTAACACCTACCTTCTATGGTTCTGCTACATTATTCATGTTTTTCTGTGGAGAGTGAGCTGTTCTCCCTCTTATATAGGGAAAGAACCATATGTAGTTCCACTGAAAAGGTGAAGGGAAGTTTATCTATTTTTTTGCAATAGTACGGTGATCATTCATAATAAATGCTCATAACAGATTATAGCTTACCAATGGCTTACCATCATTTCATCAGATGTAGGAAATGAATATGATACATCACAAAACATTCCCTATAATTACTCCCCTTGTAAGAACTTCAAGAAGCAGGGAAAAACTACATCATCATCTGGAAGACATGCCCAAAGGCAGGAAGGAAGAGTGGGAGCTAGAGCTGCACACAAACCTGCTGATTCACACAGCTGTTCTTTTTGTGACATCTCAGATGCAAAGGTGGAAGGCATAGAGTGAAAATATTGGCCTTTGTTTTGCTATGCTTTGATCAATTACTGCTACCGTCCTGAAGGAAAAGTTCAGAAAACTTTGCACCTCTGAAATAAAAGAGCTGTGAGGAAGCCGCCACAGTACTCCCTCTGCTCATGGCATTAATGCACAGAAAAAGATGCAATTCCTGGCAAATTATCACTAAAATGACCTTTCACTAGGGGCTTATTCATCACATTTTTGGCTTCAACCAGTTCAACTTTTTTTAACTTGTAGAGATCCTTTTATTTCTATGCTATACTTTTCATTTCTATGCCATAATTTTCATTCTTACATATTTCTCTTTGTAACTGTATCAAACCGTAATAAAAACCACTATATTCTTCCTTTGAGGCCTCAGATACACTAATTTGACTGTGCTTATTTTTTTATTGTAGAATCACAGAAATCAGCATTCACAGACCATCTTAAATGTTCAAAGTATCACACAGACATTAACTAATGCCTTTTACATGGGATTTGCCACACTGCATCAGACCATCAGCCACTCAAATCCAACATCCTGCTACCACCAATAGCCAACTGCTAATGCTTCAGAGAAGGTAAATGCCACTAACTGCCCCCAAAACAGTTACAACCCCCTTCCAGGCAAATGCCTGTGCCCAACTGGTTCTAATCTTTTCAGGCTCCAGGTTCTGAAGAAAGAGGTGAAACATTTTCGCTTTATTACATATGTCAAAAAAGGAAGGTCAGGAGCTGCCACCACAGAGCACCTCTCCCCAAGGCACAAAGCTTATGGTCTCAACCCAGGTACTTTGGCACAATTTTCCTAATGTTCATTTTCAGGTTGCTTGAATGGAGATGAAAATAAATAATTCATTGAAACATTTCATTTTCAGCAATAAAAATTTTAAAGCATAAAAGCTGCCAAGCTCCACCAGAAGGTCAAAGCATACTTAGTTTGTGTGACCCCATCTGATTAAGTAATTAATTTCTTATGCATTAGTTATGGATCTTGCTTTTACTCCACAGAAGGAGTTTTACTGTCACATAAGTCTTAGTTCATCAATACACTCCTTTCTGGCAGAGACATGGATGGGATTTGGTCAGACTCACTTGCACAGGGCTGGGGAAAGGGGTAGCCCATACATGGGGGCAGTGAGACAGCCCACACCACATTTTGCCCTGGTTCTTTTGGCAAGCCTGCAGCAGTGGGATGGCAGTGGAAGCTGGGCTACAGAGGACATATTTTAGAACAATATAAAACATCTCTCATAGGAATGCAAATGCATACTGTTCTGCATGCTTTGATAGACCCCACATGGACAGTTGCTGCCCTCCAGATCCAAATCTGCCACTGGATTAATCAGATAAAACAAACATATTTTTAATCCCAGACTTGAAATTTGTATCCCACCATTCAAACTGCCAAAAGCCTTTCAAAACCTTGTGAAAAAAAACAGTACTTCTTACCCTCCTGCACACATTTGCCCATTCCTTCCCTCCCATGGTGGACTTCTGTACTAAGTTGATTCTGGCTGGATTCCAGGCACCCACCAAAGCCTTTCTATCACTCCCCTCTGCAGCTGGACAGGAGATAAAAAATATAACAAAGGTTCATGAGTTGCAATAAGGACCAGGAGAGATCACTCATCAAATACCAGCAGGGACAAAACCAGGATAGAATTAGAGATATTAATTTAATTTATTAGTAAAAAAATTAGAGCAGGATAATAAGAATAAAATAAAACCTTCGAAACACCTTCCCTCCACCACTTCCTCCTTCCTGAGCTCTACTTCCCACCCAGCAGCACAGGAAGACAGGGAATGAGGGCTATGGTCAGTTCATCAGCCATGACTCCTTAGGCTGCTCAGGGAGAGGAGCCCTTCCCCTGTTCCACTGTGGGTCCCTCCCACAGGACACAATTCTCCATTAACTTCTCCAGCCTGAGTCCCTCTCACAATCTCTCTGCAAACTGCCACGACCCAAGTCCATCCCACAGACAACAGTCCTGCTCAAACTGCTGCAGTGTGGGTCACTCTTCCACGCGGTGCCATCCTTCAAGGACAGGCATTACCACCATTTCTGACTGGTGGTTAGCCTTGATCAGAGGCACATCCATCTGTGGAGCCACCAGGGACTGGCTCTGCTGAACCTGAAGGAAGCTTCTAGCAGCTTCTCACAGCAGCAACCCCTGTACCCCTCCGACTGCTACCAAAGCTTGGCCATGCAAACCCAATACAACTTCAAAAGTTATTGAACTCTGTTCAGGTGCCACATATCTAGCATGACTCCAATTTCAAGGTAACTTCATTTCTGAGAGAAGCCGCTGATTAAATATGATTTCTGATGGTAGTGCTCAGCTAGAAAAGATCTTATGACAGTCTAAGCACTACCAGAGAAGAAAAAACATAATCTAAGAGATAATGTTACTTCCAGCTGTCACACAATCTATCCTTGGCCATGAGCCCTGGTAATGTTACCATCCTACCTGACCTCCTTCTACCCAGTGCTGTGTGCCCCTGCAGACAATGAGGGAGTGCTATACCCACTCCATGCCATTTGTTCTCTCCTCCACATTGCTGCCCAGCCATCAAACCAAAAGACTAAGATAGTTTTAATCTAAGGACAGGCTGCTATAGACACCCTGAGCTCCCAGCTCAATTATCAAAGACTTGGTTTCAGAGGACTCTCTCACAAACCCTTTTTTTCTCAAAGAGAGCTCTTACTGCTAAGATGCAGGAGAGCTACTCACATTTTTTTGTTTCCATCAATCTCCCACATCCAGCTTCCAGTGGGAAAGAAGTTAGCTGGCATCACAGCAGAGATGCGTTTTGGCATCTTGGAGCTGCCAGCATGCCTGGCCTCCTAGCAAACACCATCTCCCACTTGGGCATACATAACAGCTCTTGTTCCTCCTTTGCCTTCTTGTTGGTAACACCTCTGTGACCTATCCATTGGCAACTTGTATGACACGGCATTTGTGCAGGAGTAAATAATTTTTAAGTGCTTTTGAAACCCTCACAGCCCATTAGCCTCCTGTAGACTCTGTTGTTTTGCTTTCATTTTTTCTCCACTTCCTTCTGCACACATCTTCTGGCCTGCTAGCCCTCAGTTATACTTCCAGTATCATACACTGGAACCCATGCACATTTTTTGTGTTTAGCAAGGCATTATTCATTATTAATATTCAGAGTAGATGCAAATAGAGCAGCTAATTTCCAAAAGACTATTAAAGCAATATGGGAAAACAAGAATAAAAGATAAATCTTGGTATACCATCCACCCTTTTGCCTTGTTAGGGCACTTGTGTTCACAGTCTGCTGATGAAGAACAGGTAAGGGTAAACCTGGCTATGAGCATCATCCTTGCCATGACATTTCTTTTCTTCGAGTACCACAAACATGCACTGAATTAAGAGATTCTGTTTCTTTCTGTGACTTGAAATGCAGCATATAGTTGTGAAGCAGTCACCAGGGATGTCAGGCTGTCATGGGAGCCAGAAGACGCAGCTCACAACCTGGAGTTTATAGGGATTTGGATCATGAAGCTGCACTACATTTGTTCTGTA